GTCGTGTAAAAATTGTACTGGAAGACCAATGCATGGATGGGAAACTAATATTAAAATGTGCAATGTACAAATTTCATGGATCATTTTGAGACTGTGTATTTACCAAAAATCAGTAGAAAATGTAGAATTTTGATGAACATGTGAACATTTATCCATAATTTTGTATTTGTGAGTGTGTATCTGATCTCTGTGCCTTTCAATAAACAGATAAATGGAGAAGATGTGTCAGCAGCATCACATGAGCATGTCGTGGACCTGATCCGTTGTTCGGGAGATCTGGTGTCCATGACGGTGGTTTCACTTGGGGCCACTGCCCCTGGGGGTGTACCTTGTTCCAAATCGTCTACTCTTTTGCCAGGAAGTGGCGTGGCAAGTCATCACAGACAGTATGCCACACTGCCTCGTAAGATGAATACTTCAGCCGTTACTACCGTAGGTAAGTGCCATCTGGTCTGAATGCGGAGTCTGGCTAACGTTACAGAAGTTTGTAACATGTCTGTGTACGTAGATCAACAATACCTGGAACTTTCTATACATATCATATGAAGTAAATGTTAGCACGCATCTATGATTGTCATCACCATCAAAATAAAATACAAGTTTTTTGTTTACCATTATATTATTTTACATTAATAAATTTGAACGTATCATCAGAGTCATATCTTTTTGGAAGATTTATTATGACTCAGAATTTCTGGGTACTGGATTGATGGTGAAAATGTTGGTCTCACGGCTGTAATATTGGTTTTATATAATTATCATCTCTATTATGGTGACTTCAAATTGTAAGCAATTCATACCTCACACCCTATTGGCATATTCATCGCCCTGATGACGGAGGCAGTATGACCTCTGAAACGTCGGTAAACATCGATCAGACTACACAGCGCAACAACCCAGAAGACAGTAATCTTCATACTCTGATGACGGAGGCAGTATGACCTCCGAAACGTTGGTTAACATCGACCAGACTACGCGGCGCCACAACCCAGAAGACAGAAATCTTCATACTCTGATGACAGAGGCAGTATGACCTCTGAAACGTCGGTAAACATCGATCAGACTACACAGCGCAACAACCCAGAAGACAGTAATCTTCATACTCTGATGACGGAGGCAGTATGACCTCCGAAACGTTGGTTAACATCGACCAGACTACGCGGCGCCACAACCCAGAAGACAGAAATCTTCATACTCTGATGACAGAGGCAGTATGACCTCTGAAACGTCGGTAAACATCGATCAGACTACACAGCGCAACAACCCAGAAGACAGTAATCTTCATACTCTGATGACGGAGGCAGTATGACCTCCGAAACGTTGGTTAACATCGACCAGACTACGCGGCGCCACAACCCAGAAGACAGAAATCTTCATACTCTGATGACAGAGGCAGTATGACCTCTGAAACGTCGGTAAACATCGATCAGACTACACAGCGCAACAACCCAGAAGACAGTAATCTTCATACTCTGATGACGGAGGCAGTATGACCTCCGAAACGTTGGTTAACATCGACCAGACTACGCGGCGCCACAACCCAGAAGACAGAAATCTTCATACTCTGATGACAGAGGCAGTATGACCTCTGAAACGTCGGTAAACATCGATCAGACTACACAGCGCAACAACCCAGAAGACAGTAATCTTCATACTCTGATGACGGAGGCAGTATGACCTCCGAAACGTTGGTTAACATCGACCAGACTACGCGGCGCCACAACCCAGAAGACAGAAATCTTCATACTCTGATGACAGAGGCAGTATGACCTCTGAAACGTCGGTAAACATCGATCAGACTACACAGCGCAACAACCCAGAAGACAGTAATCTTCATACTCTGATGACGGAGGCAGTATGACCTCCGAAACGTTGGTTAACATCGACCAGACTACGCGGCGCCACAACCCAGAAGACAGAAATCTTCATACTCTGATGACAGAGGCAGTATGACCTCTGAAACGTCGGTAAACATCGATCAGACTACACAGCGCAACAACCCAGAAGACAGTAATCTTCATACTCTGATGACGGAGGCAGTATGACCTCCGAAACGTTGGTTAACATCGACCAGACTACGCGGCGCCACAACCCAGAAGACAGAAATCTTCATACTCTGATGACAGAGGCAGTATGACCTCTGAAACGTCGGTAAACATCGATCAGACTACACAGCGCAACAACCCAGAAGACAGTAATCTTCATACTCTGATGACGGAGGCAGTATGACCTCCGAAACGTTGGTTAACATCGACCAGACTACGCGGCGCCACAACCCAGAAGACAGAAATCTTCATACTCTGATGACAGAGGCAGTATGACCTCTGAAACGTCGGTAAACATCGATCAGACTACACAGCGCAACAACCCAGAAGACAGTAATCTTCATACTCTGATGACGGAGGCAGTATGACCTCCGAAACGTTGGTTAACATCGACCAGACTACGCGGCGCCACAACCCAGAAGACAGAAATCTTCATACTCTGATGACAGAGGCAGTATGACCTCTGAAACGTCGGTAAACATCGATCAGACTACACAGCGCAACAACCCAGAAGACAGTAATCTTCATACTCTGATGACGGAGGCAGTATGACCTCCGAAACGTTGGTTAACATCGACCAGACTACGCGGCGCCACAACCCAGAAGACAGAAATCTTCATACTCTGATGACAGAGGCAGTATGACCTCTGAAACGTCGGTAAACATCGATCAGACTACACAGCGCAACAACCCAGAAGACAGTAATCTTCATACTCTGATGACGGAGGCAGTATGACCTCCGAAACGTTGGTTAACATCGACCAGACTACGCGGCGCCACAACCCAGAAGACAGAAATCTTCATACTCTGATGACAGAGGCAGTATGACCTCTGAAACGTCGGTAAACATCGATCAGACTACACAGCGCAACAACCCAGAAGACAGTAATCTTCATACTCTGATGACGGAGGCAGTATGACCTCCGAAACGTTGGTTAACATCGACCAGACTACGCGGCGCCACAACCCAGAAGACAGAAATCTTCATACTCTGATGACAGAGGCAGTATGACCTCTGAAACGTCGGTAAACATCGATCAGACTACACAGCGCAACAACCCAGAAGACAGTAATCTTCATACTCTGATGACGGAGGCAGTATGACCTCCGAAACGTTGGTTAACATCGACCAGACTACGCGGCGCCACAACCCAGAAGACAGAAATCTTCATACTCTGATGACAGAGGCAGTATGACCTCTGAAACGTCGGTAAACATCGATCAGACTACACAGCGCAACAACCCAGAAGACAGTAATCTTCATACTCTGATGACGGAAGCAGTATGACCTCTGAAACGTTGGTAAGCATCGACCAGACTACACAGCGCAATAACCCAGAAGACGGAAATCTTCAATTCATACAAAGTTTTGTGAAATATGGTTATTGCTTCAGAAAGCTGCATTCGTACATGCACACGCCCGGTGTTTCTACGCAAAAGATGAAAATTAATGTTTCTCCTCTTTACACTGAGTCATTGTAATTTTCTTGTTAAATGAGGATGTAGGAATGATATTGGCAATGGTTTAATGTTGTTGCATTTCTTGAAGGTCGCTCTCCTGCACCACTGCCTCCAAGACGAGACCCCAAGACGACGCTGAGTGTGGGACGAGCGAGGGCGAGATCCATGGTAGCTGGTCTAGGTAAGCTACTCGTCTCTGGATACTTAATCGGCATGAGTCAGTTATGGAACGCGCGCATTAGAAATAGAATGGTTTTGATATTGTTTCAAAGTAAAACTTGGTGGGGTAGAAATAATAGTTTGGAAAGAAGACAGATCAGTGCTACAGATGTTGTGTGACGGACTGTGACAAGGAAAAAAGAGATGGTTGTAAATGGTGATATTTTAATTCAGGATTTCAGAATTTGTCACATGTGATGATTCAAACAGTGCTATATCAACTGCGGTGGTCAGTGGTCATAGATGGGATGAGATGATCGCATACAGTAAACTGAAGAAGAAATGATTTTATCCTGAAAGAATGAGCGGAAGCCTTAATGAGATAGCTTTTTTTCCCTGGTGGAGTTATGAATCAGGTGCCTCCTGATTTCAAATCTCAAGATGGACGAACTAATGAGCATGGCCTGATTACCTTACATTTGAAATGTTTTTTCTGATTTTGAGCACATTCAGAGTGGTCCTCTGGAGTGAGGCCAGAACATATGGTAAGAAGGAATCTTTGACGTTGCCCTACTTAATCTTTGCGTAAAAATTCAGGAATGTTGTGTGACCACCAGAAAGTCACTAGGATATTTTTATGTGAACTTCATTGCCTTCGACAAATATTAGAGAAAAAGTAGGAGTATAATGGGTCAGTACAGCAGTTATCCGTGTGTGTTTGGAATACAAAAACTTAAGTTAATTAAGATGTGTATGCATGGGGTATCTAGTAGAGCTTGTGTAGGTAACCTTCTGTCGGATGGCTTAAAACTGGGATGCTTTATCCCCATTGCTCTTTAACTTTGCTCTAGAACACTAGAACATGTCATCAGGAAGGTCAGAGGTTATCAGGAAGGGCTCGAATTGAATGGTCTGCACCGGGCCCTAGCCTATTCTGATGACGTCAGTTTATGGGGGAGAACCAAAAATGCAGAAACTCTCCTCCAGGCGAACAAGGAAATAGGCCGAGAAGTAAATACATGGGCGAAAAACGGGACCAACATCAGCGACAACAGTGGAACATAATTATGAATAAAGCATCATTTGAAAGTTTTTCAAAATTTAAATATCGGGGAACAACTGTAACATATAGAAATGAGGTTCATGATGAAATTAAGGTTAGAATTCATTTGGAAAACGCTTGTTTTTATGCAATTCAGAAACTGTTATCGTCTCGCTTGCTATCCAAAACACTAAAAGTCAGGATGTATAAAACAATGGTTTTGCCTGTTGTCTTGTATGGCTGTGAAACACGGTCTCTTACATGGAAGGAAAGGACGTAGATTACAGGTGTTTAGAGGATATTTGGACCTAGACGGGATGAAATAAGCGGGGAATTTAGAATATTACATAACGAGGAGTTGCGTGAATAGTGAGGATAATGAAATCTAGGAGGCTCTGATGGGTTGGAAATGTAGAACGCATGGGGACAAGGGGTGCATACAGGATTTTGGTAGGAAGGAGATGGGAGGATGTCAATATGGGCCTTAGGGAGGTGGGCTGTGAGAATGGAAAATAGATGGAGTTGGCTCAGGATCGTGTCTGATCGCGGGCTTTGGTGTTGTCAGTGTTGGACTTGTGGGTTCTGCTACCAGAGAGTTAATTAACTTCAGCTGATAATAAGACTAATTGCATTTCTGAATTAGTTTTTACATCAACATTAAAGGTGTAATTCACAGTTATCTTTAGTGCACTATAATAATTTGCAGAAAAAGAACATTGAAATTACAAATAAAATAAATTAAATGGTTTCATAATGGGAATTACTTTCAGTGTACATTTATACAGAACTCCTTACTGTTATTATCACAGCAGCAAAACAAAAATTTCATTGAATGTGCTATTTCATTGATATATGAGAATTTCTGTTATAGAAAACATAGTTATTTAACAGGGTATTTTCAGAAAGGACTTTCAGTTCTAATTGTATTTATTTACTAAAATATGTATTAGATGTTGTTGTTGTAGGATTTGGGGTTTTCACAATGGTGAGTACAAAGATGGCTCTCATCTGCTTTGTAGAACCTTGTGTTCTGGTAGAAGTTTACCAGTCTATCATTACAGAAACCATATTGGAACAAATCACATGGTTTTAGATGTGGAACAAACCATATCTGAAACATTGGAACCTTAAAATATGCTACAACCACTTAGTCCCGTATCTCTTCCGAGTCATCGTTTGCAATCACCTTCCCTTGTCTTGCTCATAAGTTGCAAAGTTCACCCACGTTGTGCAGCTCTCAGTACACGGTTTGGACTGGCTGTTGCAGAAGGTGGTGGGGAGAAGGATGATGGCGAAGACCTGGAGCCAGATGGATTGGTGGGCGGATCAGCAGGGACCACTAAGAGCAGTTCGGCTGAATCAATCCACCAGCAACAGGGACAGAGTTCTGTGGGGTGCAGCACGCCAATGCAGCCTCGTACTGCCTCCATACGGTCGCGTCCCACGTCGAGCCGCATCACTGCCGCGGAACTCGAGGAGCTTTTCCAGCGACAGCAGGGCTCAGGCAGTGGTAACTTAGTCATGATGATCATAAATGAACGGTTGATACACGATTCTGGAACAGAGGCAAATACGACTACAGTGTGACGGATAGGATAGATGTTGCCCATGCATGTTGAGACGTTCATAGTTGTGGCACGTAGAAATATTGTTTATCTGCCGTTAGACTAGCAAGCGTGATAGATTCCAGGAAAGAGCACAGTTCGTGGAAGGATTTGAGGTGGGGATTTGGGTCACCTGAAGCTGTAGGCTTACATCCAGTTTTGCCAAAAGTCTGTTTTTTTTATGAATGTCAGTAATGGAAATGGCGCAGATGATATGGACAGCGTATGGTGAACTGTTGTCACAATCAAAGGTACTTCAGTTGGAAAGATAGGAACTTCATTCTCCCTCTGTGGTGGCTTAACGAAATTGTAATTGCTATCAGGAACTTTGAAATGTATTCTTTAAATTAACAATTAATAGCATGCACTAAACAATGAATAAGTTCTCTATCTGTACATTACCTGACAGAAACACTGCATAAAAATTTAAAATTGTTAACAGTTTTTTACTAATATTCAATGTCCGAATTGTGTAGAAATGATGAACGGAAAGAAAGTGCATCACTTCAAGTACTGAAAATTTGGATGTGCCTTATATTTGTGAGCATATGAAATTGAGGCACGCACAGTAGTCTTTGTTTTCAAACTCTGTACATGATTTAAACTAAAATAATCTAGAACTTTCCATGCTGTAAAATGTAAATCACAGACTCTTACGTAATCTGCAGTAATAAAACATGTGCGCAGAGGGGATACTGCGTGTGAACATTGCACTAACATGTGTTAGTAAAGACCCATCTGACTTATACAGAGTGTCAGGGTGAGCATCCAATTGTTTGTCAGTGTGCTACCCACTATCATTTTTTCTTCTCTGGTGAATGGGCTTGGAAGGGGGTTGACGCCCTCCTGAGGCTCCATATTTAGTGAGGAGCAGTTCCAAGGTCTTCCCAGTATTTACGTCTGTACCTAACAGCCCAACCACTACCCCAGCAATGTCACTCTAACATCAATGCAGGTGATGGAATTGGTTTATATTAGGATAGCAGATCGATCATGTAACAGAAATTGGCCAGCTATAGCCAGGGATGAGGAGGGGAGTGATGGGGCCATGTCCAGCCAAAAAGGAAAGAGTCCTTTTTTGAGCAGCTCAGACAGGAGAGAAGGAAATGGGGGAAGAACTTGTTCCATTTAGGTGACCAGAAGGTGGGTATGAACGATTGACATGGATTGTGACAACCCTGTATGGTTGGCAGTCATTGAGGACAAGTGGGAAGGACAAATGAGTGGTGGTGAGTGAGCCGGACAACGGAGTTGATGCAGATGTTACTGGCGCTGTAAAGGGTTTTGAGCTCTTCCAGGCTGGGCTTATGTGGTAACCATTTCTGTATTGAAGAAGTTGTGTAAGCTGATCTTGATGGCTTCACAAATGACTCTGCCAATGTGTGGGACAGTTAAGCTAAAGCCTTCAATCTGGTGAACTGTAACCAGCTGCTTGAGTATTCTGCCAGCACAAAGTATTCAGATGGTGGAGCTGGAGGTGTCTCTGTTGTTTCTTTGTGCATCATTCTTTCATGCAACCTGCCTTGCCACTGTAGAGTGAGCTTTTCTTTTGTGGTTAATGCCACCCGTATGAAATTATGTCCTGGGAATCCGTCTCAGGTTTTGTGCGGCAATGTGGAAGAAGGAGCGTTGCTGACAACAAATTTTCTCTGTTTGCAGCTTCATCCGAGGTGATGACTTCACATTTCCAGTCACCCACACAGGGCGGATCATCGCAGCCTTCATCTCCTGCTCATGCACCTCGGGTATACACCAGTGTGGCCGAGATGAAACGCAGTAAAGGCAAGGTGGGTGTAGTATGCAGTAATTTAAAGTGGCAAGATAGTCATTTTGACACCATTTTCTTTCAGTTCTGTCTTTATACAGAAGTAGCCATAAAAATTCTTTCATCACCATCTTTATCATTGAAATCATGTTTTCAAATTAATGGGAATTATGTTTTCATATTCGCCCCATCCATCAATCTCTGCTCGTGTAAAACGAAGCTGCGTGTGTGATTGCAGGCGAGCATGCGAGTTCGCTTCTCTACTGGTGGGGCAGAGTTACATCGGGATTTTCACAGCACCCCGGACCTAGCACAGAACAATATCTTGAGCAATGCAGCGGTTGGCACCATTAATTACCGTGCACCTAAAGGTCACCATAGTCAGGAAGATGTAGCAACACTGCTGCTGAGCGGTGGTGTGGTGACTGGGCGTCCGCCTCTCCCGCCACCTACTCATCCTCCACCGCCACCACCAGTTGGGCAGCTGGTATGTATCATCTCACAGTGAGGCAGGAATCTTATTGTTACTGTTGACCAGTTCAGTTGTTGCCCAACGTAAATTAATCCTGCCCATCAGGTGCTTCCGTACATTTGCCACTTTGCCCTAATAGAGGGCATAGTGCCTTCCCCCACTTGTAAGGTGGTTTCACCGCTATGATGGATATGTTGAACCCCCCAGAACATGCCTGGGACACACCCCTTTCAGCACACTGAACTGGGGACACCCTACATGACCCAACTTAATCCATACTGACATAATTTAATTAAAACCAACCTAGTTTAAGTATCCCCCACCTAACACAACCTAACCTAACCTAATGTAGACAAACATAACCTAAGCTAAGATTGCTGTTAAAAAGTTGAAAGGCAGGCACTGATCAAAATCTAGCAGAATTGATCCTAGCAGGACGTAAAACATATTCTATGATACACAGACTTATTGGTTATTGATTCTGTTTGGAAGAAGTGAGAATTGCCGTAACAGTGGAAGGAATCTGTTAGTGTATATATTTATAAGGATGTTAAAACTTAATGTAATAATTATCAAGGAATATCACTATTATAAACGATGCGCACAGTTTTTTTTGCCAAGGTTAACTTTAAACTAACGAACTAAAAGCATTGCACATTTCTTTCTCTATAGGCATCAGCTGATTTGATATATTTTAGTTGCGTGAAGTTTTATTTATTGTCAGTCATAAGTTTTGCTTTTTTGAAGCTGTAAACACTGACGTTAATTGACGATGATCTGGGTTTCGGTGCCATGCAGACTCAGCAGAGAGCGGTTTATACTGACAAGTCTACACAGCTCCAAAACCCAGAAAACATCATCCTCACTGCCATGAAGACCTCATTCCTCATTGTCTCTCTGTGTTGTTAACTGAGAAATTGCGTTGTGGCCACGATGATCCGTATTTATGCCAAAAATTTTGTTGCTCTGTTGTAAATTATTTGATTTATGCCTATCTTCCATTGATCAAGAGTGAAAGGAAGCCTGATTGCATATTTTGCTTGTGGTCACGTTAGTGCCTCGAGAAATGAACGGACCCGTACTTTGAGATTTTGTTACGTGAAAATGAATCACTTTTTTACATAAATTATATCATGGAATCTGACCTTTGAAATATGGGCATTCTTTGTCAGTGACCTTGTGTATGGAATTAAACCTGTGGCAAGAATTTATATTTTTATAACAAACTCATCTGGGCTGTGGGATATATTCTGATCATTTTGAGGCACTACTTTTCTTTACTGTATGCTAGAGTTTACTGTGACTATAGTTTTTTAGATTTCTAGGAAGTAGTCGGAAAACATACACCAGTTTTCCAACCACTTTTATGCATTTCATGTGCATTACCCTCTGCTTGCGATAAGAAGCCAACAAAACATCACATAATGGGGAAGGTGAGGGGTCTAATTCCACGTTAAACTGACGTCTCCTTGCAGGTGAAGGTGGATGTTTCCCGTGGGACACTGAAACCCAACTTGATGGCGACTGCGGAGTATGCCAACATGACAAACAGCGCCAAGGTGGATGCAAACCCCAGCAACACTTCAACACTGGTGAGGAATGTGTCAGGGATAGGAGGAGATGGGGAAGTTATGTCCAGTTTTAAACCTGCCAACAGTGCCAAGCTCTACGCATCTCCTGAGGATGTTAAGTCTGTTGGGTACAGGTCCCGCAGCCTTCCAGCGCACTCAGCACGGCCGCAGGTTTGTCGAGATTTTCACCATGGCCAAACAGATTTTGACAGTTTCACACCAAATGGTATTTCTGGTGAAGTAAACTTCTGTTGTTTGAAGATACTTAACTTATTTCAGGAACTTTTAACAAAATTAAATTCAAATACTATACACATTAGTTGTATTCACAGTTGCCGCTCTGTGCGTCCAGCATGGAGTGTTAAGAAAGTATCAGTAGAGTACGTCAATATTATTAATGATTTGCCTCTCCTTACTGTGAATTACTCTGTTAAATCTAAGAATGATCTGACAGCTTTACTTTACTTACTCTGTTAAACCTGCTTGTGCTGATGTTTGCCGTTGTTGACGTGTGTCACTGCATGCAGTTCTGTGGGCAAGTGGCCAGTGGATTGGAACAAAAATGTTTCTTACCAGACTCTCTCCACTCATCTCTCATTCAGCTATCAAGATAACCTGCTTGTACATTACTATATCCTATTTTCAGTCCATATTGACCAAATAGGACTACGTCTTTCACAGGCCCAAGGTAGGTTTCAGAGCACTTTTCATGTAGTAATTTCTTGTTCATCAGCAACACCAACATGGGAGTCATGCAGACTTCTGTGGTGAGAACATTACGAGTGTCATTTAATGTTGGTCTATGACATTGTGTAGAATGTAAATGCATATGACAACCATTAGGAAATCTCTGGTTACATTTCTGTTTGATTGAAATAGCTAAGAAACTTCTGCAATTAATCGTGGAGGTACATCGTAAACATTCGGGTTTCAAGTGAAAGAATTTTTCATAAGATAGGAATGGAAAAACGTGGCAGTGACAATACGTTAAGGTTATGTTGCTACTGTGGAAGTTTTCCGAGGGACGTTTGAACAGAAACAGATCACAATATTTTTATAAAAATGTTAATTTGTAATTTATGTCGACTTCTGTGAACAGTTTTTGAAAGCTTTTGAAAGAAATTTAGGCATCATAAGACATTTTTATTAAGAATATTTTCACATGTAAAATGTTATGAAAACGAAACTAACCGATCTTGAATAATTTTAGGCTGCTGAACACGAAAATCACATTAAAATTTGTCGATTGACTCCTGTTTTCGAATTACGATTTGGGTCTCATATTAGCGAGTTACTCGTCATTATTATCAGTTATAGTACCACCAGGCTCTTAAAACGTCATTAGAAACAGTGACCCCGCTCTGTATTACGTGATAAGTTGTTGCCGCCTCAAATGCATCTTCAACTCTTGCAGTATTCCTCGAATCCGGCCAGGTATTGGGTGATTTGTTCTCAGTTAACGGTTCTCTGTGAGATTCCTACTTCTTGCGCAGTATTTGTGTCGTGTACGATTAATATGCCCTGTAATTGTGTGAATAGTCCAGATAACTTCTGTCACGTTTGCTTCAAGAAAATGTACGTTAACTCAAGTCATAAAAAAGGCCTACGAATTTTACTTTGGGTGTAAAGTAGGCGACCAGGACAAGAACTGGTCTCCACACGTATGCTGCACTACCTACGGTGCCTCCTAGTCGAATAGGGGTGACATTGAATAAAAAGTGGACAGTGACGTACTCAAATATACCATCTGCAATTCACCCCGTGTCTCACCTATTCCTGAACCACCCGAAAGTTTATCAGTAGACTCTGATGAAGATGAAGACACTGATGATGTTCATGATGAGCTTATATACATGAAGAAATACAGCAGCCATCTACGCCAAGCTATCCACCATTTTTGTACAATTCTCTATCCTTCTGAACCACATAAGATCACAGAAAGTGAGGACCTTGAACTGCCGAAGAATAAGGCAGAGCCTTTGGCCCCGAGGCTACAACAGTGGAATCTTCTAGATCATTCTGTGAAAGTGACAAGATTTTGTACTTGAAATAAAGACTGTGATAATTTCTATCAAACAGAAGGTGAACTCATTGATTTCTTCTGGAAAACTGGGGTGCAACATGTCATTTAAGATGCCTTTCTTGCACTCACACCTGGATTTCTTCCCGTCAAACTGTGGTGCCGTCAGTGACGAACATGGTGAGCGCTACCATCAAGACATCTCAGCTATGGAGCAAAGATACAAAAGCAAATGGAGTGCCGCCATGTTAGCCGATTATTGTTGGATGGTGAAAAGGGATGCTCTAGTAGCTAAATACAAGCGAAAGGAGCAGTATTTGACTAATGTATATTCGTAGCTATATCTTATTGCCATATAACTAAAAATTATCTTGTATAAATATGACAAACTAGTTTTTTTTTTCGAAAACAAGAGCCAATCTTCCAATATGAGCACTATTTCAGTGTTTAGCACCCCAAAATCTATGAAGTAAACTTACTTTCATGTCCATAATAAGAAATGACCCAACATTTGTTGAACAGTGTTTGCCTGTTATTGGCTTCTTGCTGTTGGCAAACACTTAAATAAATGAATTGACTTGAACTTTTGACAACAGAGTTCACATTTTGTTGAACATGATGTTGGTGCAGACTGGTACGATTGTAGATTGACTGATTTGTTTTGTTGTGATGATGTAGGGCATATAAAGAACTGGGAAGTTTGATGTCTGTTTCATAGTTCAGAGCTATGGTTTAGGCTTTTGTTTACAAGGGCCTAGGTGTGATACACAGCCTGTCATGGTAATTGAACATTTTCTTTCGTACAAGGAAAATGCACATTTATTTTAATTTTTATCAGCTGAATATATTACAGAACTCTGGTGATAGCCACTTTTGAAATATTGCTCGTTGCTTCTGATTTCAGGTGCGCAAATCCCACAGTCTTCGCTCTTCTGCTTCGTCATTCAAGCCTTCTTCTTCACCCCAGCAGCCAGTCTCTCTTGCCAACTCGAACGCTTATTCAACGGCAACCGGTACCAACAGCAATCCGTATGCGCAGCCTTTCCGTGGAGCGGCTCGCAGTCACAGCAGTGTGAGCAGTAGCTCTAACAACCGTGAGAGTCTCAAGCTGAAGAATAAGATGAAGAAGAAGAGTGGCATTACAACCAGCTCATCAGCGGCAAACCTGTCTTCCTTGTCGTCAGGTCCTCCCCCCATCCCAGAGCCAGACTACAGTCTAAGTGAGAGTGATGGTGACGTGGAGAGTGAGGGGGAAGGGGTTGGCAGCGGGACGGTGCAGGCAGTGCCGCGAGGTTTGGTGGTGGCAGTGGCCGAGACAAGCGGAAATAGCAATGCCAGTGGGAGCAGCTCGAGCTCAGGCACGCTGCCTCACAGTTTCAGTGTTGAGGAAATTCAGAAGGTTCGAACACAGCTGAAGAGTTCAAAGTCCTACCCCAATGACTTTTTGGTTCTGAATCCCAACACGGGGGAAGACGGGGACAACTCTTCAAGTGGCGTTAGCTCTGACCAGGACATTCCTGTGGGACCACCCAGTGGCTTTGATGATGGAAGGTCTTCGGAAGGGTATGGTGGCTCAGCCCCTGATGACAAGGGGCAGCAAGGGCCAGACTTGCAGAAACAAGGTTCTGCAATGACTCTTCCTTTGGGCCGGCAGAGGGCGACACTTCCAGGGGGTATCTTGACTAGGAATGCTGTGTCCTTGGCACAGCTTCCTCCCCCTTTGGAGGGGGAGGGAGAAGCAGAAGGAGAGTTAGTAGTGCCTCCTCCTCCAGAGTTCCTTGGAGCTTCAAATAATGGAAGTGGGGGCCCAGAAGAAGTGCTGGCCCCCCCACCGCAGTTTTCTGACAACCGACTGGTGACAAGAGTGCGCATTGTGGGGGCTGTACCAAAGACTCAAGGAGGGGACAGTCGACTCCACAGCCAGTGAGACTAAGATCTCTGGATGTCATGTTCTTGCAAAGGCCTAAACTCATATTACAACGAAACTCACATTCCAGCATCACTAACCTTGCGCTGTCAGAAGCAGCAAAATTTGTGAGAATGACATACCAAAAACATGATATAATCTCTCTTTATTTGTTGTCCTTTACTTGTATTAATTATTATCTCTCTTCCGTCATTATGGGCTAGATGTTCATTTTTTGCAGATTTATAGGCAAAGTGAGATTAGTAAAAACTATAATGCTCAAGAGGTCATCACGTAGGAGGACTAGACTTTGCATTCCGGTATTTGACCAGTGTACATATGTAGGGATGGTGATTATGCTTCTGCATCTTCAGGATCGAGCAAGTTAATTTGTGATGCAATGGCAAGGCACGGAACTCCTGCAGCTAATCCAGTACATGTCTTTATTCTCTGCTCATTGACAAAAAGAATTCTATTTTTATGGTAATGACCACTGATTGCCAATTGTGCTATTACACTGTAGTTTGAACTACTTACTCTGCCTACAAATGGATCTTGGTATAGTGAAAGGAATATCATCTTTAAAAATTAAAGTTATAAGATGTGAAACATCGGATATCAGCAGGCTGCATGTTGTAAACCAGTGACGGACTCGGAAACTGCGCCGTTTTCCGCTCCTCCGAGAGATGCGTCAATCATGTCGGATACTTGCACGACTCCTGCCTTCACCATTGTAGGCTTAATGTTAAGCTTTAAGTGCAGCCAACTTTACAAGTGACAAGGATAATTGCTCATAGATTTGCCAGCCATAAATAAGATATTATCAACATTCCTGCCAACACGATTGTAAACTAGGTACTGGATAGATACTAGGTGTAGGTTGTAGACAGTATTTCAGTTTGGCAGCTGTGGGACCTGAGAGGTTGTGCCACCTACACAGTTTGAGAAGGGCAGGATTCAGTGATACCAACAAAGTGGACTTGTACTATCTATCAAGCATTAGCCACAGCTATATGAGAAGTTGTCCATCAAGCATTTCAGTTCTGATCAAGATGGTGCCAAACTCATATGGTATATTTGTGTAATGTGGTAATGGTCAGTATTTGAGGTCGGACTGTTTCCATACCTGCACACTTTCACTTTCTTTTACTCAAAGATTTTTAAGAACATGTTCAGATTGAATGAAAGTTCAGCGTCGTGACACGCAACAGGAACGTGAAAGTAATGGATCACTGTGGAGTTGGGCCTCCATTGAAAGCTGTTTTTAATATCTTGAATAGAAAACTGCAAAAATTTAAATGGAATTCACTACCAGGACTTTCAGTTGAGACTCCTGCTACACATGAATAAGTCATCATATGAATGAATCGTGTGTTGAAATCAAATTATCGTTAACAGGCGGACTAAAACTGACTGGAAATGAACGTGCAGTGATCAAGTAGGCCTAACTCCCTGGGTTGCATGTGGTGGCTCATCTCCATTGTTTAAGTAGCGTGTGCTGGCTAAGCGGGTATTGGCACACTGAATTCTGAAGTTCTTTGTTCCTGTTACATCAGTAGTGCCATGTCTGCAACAGCCCTGTTGGTTAGACACCACAGAAAACACTCGCAGGTACAAATTTGATTTTGGAATTCCCACAGTGTGTGCACCTTGGCCTAGCAGCAGCAATAATGTGGGAAGTTTGTACATATTTGTACATTGTATTACTTTAACTGTGTGTTTGTAGATAGTTAGATTGAATGTAAAATATACTGAAAAAGCTCCTTAAAATTGTTTTTGTATAATTTTTGCGTCATCTTTTTAGGTCTACATATCAAAATAAATTATCTCAACAAATTATTATCTTTGCAAACATCGGTTAGCTGGATTGTTTCATTTGTAGTTTAACCCCGTGGCTCCTTCATGAGAGATAGACCATTCTGCTACAACTACCTTGAAAGTCCAGTGACTCGAGAGGTGTGAGGCAGCTTCTTCGCCTCTTAATTTCCCCAAAAGTCAGTCTTACTATTGGAACACAGCGGGTCAAATGCACTGTCAGCTGGCGTGTGTGATTATGGACAGCGAGTTGTGGCAAGAGCGACCATAGCCAGTTCAAAATAATTTTCCTGGGTAAGAGTAGGCAAAGATTAAAAACAGGCATCTCATCCTGCTGCTTGGTGACTAACGGATGTTGACTTAAACTTTTACAACTTGAGATTTGAGGTTTTCATGGTATAGTTATTGACTGGTCTTCTGGGTTTTGAGGCCATGTGGTCTCGCACGTGGCTACCAATGTTGCTTGTAAATAATGGTAACCACCTACAAGACCACGTGGCATCCCAACCGAGATGGCCATAACAAGTTTTTGAGTTTTCATGAGAAATAAAAGTTTAATTCACTAGGCAATGCTTCAAGTGATATGAGGCTGTTTCATGAGATTCTTGATCTGAAAAAGGCGTGCCCTGAAGCAGTATGTGTGCTTTGTGATTACAACTATTGTGACATGATTCATCTTGGTACATTAACAGTACAGATAGCAAATTATTAGTATTAAATTGCTCCTTTTCTTAGATTGTGCTCCATCTATCAGAATATGCCTTAGTGATAATTAAATGAACACCATATTCTAGAGAAGCTTCTTGATGACAAATCAGCAAATCACTCCTTTAACTTAAATTATAATTCAATTATAAAAGACCTTGACTACTATCAAAGATGGTGGATATCTAAAAAACTACAAGGCAATTGAAAAATCACGTAACATAATATTTATTGATGGTTACAATTCAGTGCCGAGGTCAAGAATGAGTGGGACCTATACTACCTCTCCCTCCAAACACCTACATGGCGTATAGTGGGACTTTACAGTGCAGTACCGTTTGACTGGATTAATAAACGCATTATCACTGTGACTTTGTTCCAATTTCCAGGAAAGTCGCTGAGAAAAAACTCATCAAAGTGGATTATCCATTGGAACGGTAAATAAGGTTATAGAGCTTTTAAAACTTCATATCATGTACATGTCTTGCATGAACATGTGGAACCTGATAAGCAAAAACAGCTTCAATACTGCACATGGTTTACACACACTGTTCAAGAGGGCTGTAGACATTTAAGATTAAGTTTTCTATAGTGCCACAGCATGGTTCCGTCTGAGTGGTTATGTTCATAGGCAGGACAGCATAATGTGGAGTGACTGAGAGCTTTTCTTTTCAAACTTATGCTGAAACTATTCACCAGGTTGCATCAAACACAAGGAGAAGAGTGATTGCATACTTCATCGAACACAGTGGAAATTTACAGTTCTTAATGTTACATTTATTGTTTTCTGATTTCATTGTAATTTATTGACGTAAATACGTCTATACGGAAGGGTCATTCGGCTAAAAAGCTTAACGAAGTTGTGTAAGATCCATATCAACAATGTGTAAATATGGACATCTTCGTTACGCTTTTTTGCCGAATGACCCTTCCGTATAGACGTATTTACGTCAAAAAACAAATCCTGTGACAGGCAAATGTGTTATGCAAGAATATTTGTAATTCTGATGATGGTGGAGAATTATTTAGATCACCATATTGCTGAACAATGATTAGGAGCTACTGGGAAGTGGTAAATGTTTTATTGATTATATAAAATACAAACTTGGTAAATGTATTAAACAATATACACATCTAAAATCTGCTGAGTCAATATAAAACATGTAAATTAGAGTACAGAGGAAGGAACTCCCACACAATACAAGAATCAATAAAGTCTCAAAGATACTGAAAAGGATGTCAGCAAAGTCAGCAGAAGGAACAATGGTAATTAAAAATTCAGAAGAACAGTAACAGAAAATGACAAACAAAAGCATAAACTGATAAAAGATCAATAAAGTTTGACAGGCCTGACTTCAGTCCACAGAATAAAATGCACTAGAAGATCCCAACTAGCCAACTTAACCAAGTTTACACCAAATTGCCTTCTAGCCTGCTAGCTGCATATACTTTGTGAAACTGGGCTAGTATGTGTATTTTCAATTTCCCATATAGTGGTCATTGATATTTATTCTCAGTTCACCTGAACACAATGGACTAGCACGAATTTAGGTTTTGATATTTTTTCATGGATGCACAAGCAGTGATCCATGCAAAAATATCAAAACCTAAATTCGTGCAAGTACCAATACCAGTAGGTGAAATACCAATTAGCATGACATCAACAAATGGTAACAGTGACTTCTAGTCATAATTTCTCAATCTTTACAGAAGTTTAACGGCTCTTTGACATGCAATGAATGAGTTTCATGGGGAAATTTAACATTTACATTGAAATCTTTTCACTTATCTATTTTTGGTAGCAATGATTGGCATGTCAAACAACATGGAATTCCACATTTTGAAATGTCCGGCGAAGTATCGGTGATATGTTATAGTACAAGTAATACATTTTCATGGTTGTTGTTTCCTGTATATGAACATATCGCATGTAAGACTGCACCACTTTTAAATCTGGACTAGGGGACAGGAAATGTCAAATGAAAAGGTGAGCATAAAATGACGAAAGAGTTTGGAGGTTATAAATTCTTGTAAGATTCGCGTTTGTGTATGGTTTATGTAACGACCCTGTCAGTAACTCATAGAGTATATAGCGTCGAATGATGGTATGGTCGATGAATGATGAATAGGAAATGATATGGAAGGAAGCGGCTGTGGTATAATTTAATGTACTGGTCTGGCACTTTCCTAGAGGGACTGAGGAAAACCACGGTCTGCGAGCCGAGATTGGAACCTGGGAAATTCAGAATATGAAGCAGTAGTGTTTTGAAGGAGATACATAGGGGTAGTGTGTGAATAAATCTAATTTCTTGCTAACATCTCAGACCTTTGACCTGTCACCGGATAAGGGTTTTACTTATGAGCATCAAAGAGTAATACTTAACCACCAAAATTAAGTAGTCACTGAATTTATGGAGTCATGTTTGTTCTGTCTATGTTTGTGATACTTAACCACCAAAATTAAGTAGTCACTAAATTTATGGAGTCATTATTGTTTGTTCTGTGTTATGTTTGTGAAGTAATATTGTAGGTGCTTCCATGATTTTTGATATCGCTTATGAATTTTTATCAACATAAATACCATAAGTGCTACATTTAGATTACTTTGACTACTCAGTCATAGCTGCTACTATACATAAAGGTGAAGATATGCTTTTATGGTCTGCTTATTGATCATTTAAGCATGACAGGTTGCCTCTCTTCATTGTATGCTCTTACTCTGGACATGATTTTTATTTAATTTTCATGACTGTTACTTACACACTTTGAGGATTTTGTAATGGACCACGTCGATAGTATGGTAAATCACTGGAGGCTAAATTAAGAATTTTATAGATTTGCATGCCTATAACTGCTCTGTTCTTGCATTGCAGCTTCTATTCAGGTTGGATCAGCCTCATGGGCCGGGTGACACTTTCGTCAGCTGGCAACATGGCAGTGGTGGTTTCTTTGCCACAACAGGGGTTGATCAGTCTGTGTTGATCTATAATCACCATGGCAAGAAGGTGGAGCAGATCCGGCTGCAAGGGTATGGCTGTATGCATTTATCTCAGAGAAGTTTTAACGAGAGGACTGGGAATTTCTCCTTTAATTACACTTTATCCACAACAGCCGTGTCACATGTCTAAATGAAATTGTGGCTGAGAGCATTGGCGGGTGGAACAGTCAGCTCAGGTTAAGAATCCGTGTTGTGATTTGCACAGGGCACTCAAATTCACAGTCTTTTATATCATTGTTTTAGAATAGCTGTTGTATTTTACATTTAAGAAAGCAGTGCCTTGCCAGATATTTCCCTCCTGAGTTTTGCTTGCAGATATCCCGGTTCACACCTCAGTCGTCTCATGCCAATAATAATGAGTTTTAAATTGCAGCAACAAGCATTGCTGTCTCTAGAACCGTGTTATGTTTGAATGCTGGAAATGTAAGCGACATCCTTGCTAGAATACGTTAACCTTTTTGGGTGTTTCTGATGGGGGTATTTGACATGTTTATGTTATCCGGACAAGATAGTTCATGAAGTTACTTGTTCTATCCAAGTAATCTCTGTTAAACTGTGTGGCGAATTTCGTAAAGTAACACATAATTTTTATTATAATGTTATTTGCAGTCTACAATAATTTAAAGTTAATACTTATTAGATACAAGTGTGTAGGTAGTCTCTCTTAAGAGTCTTCAATTGGTACAGGAATAGCCTCTGTCCTTAATTATGACCAGAGATATAAGCATTTTAGTGAATCAGGACAAGGGAAAAATGAAGGGGAACTTAAAATTTTGAAATTTGCTGTATGTCTGTGATTAATGGACACAGTAGGGTAAGATTTCTTATTTGCCGCTTCCTAAGAGGAACCAACAGACTTGCAAAATGTTATCAGAATCAGAGATGGTCATGAAAAGTTTGCCCCTGAATTGTGTTGATTTGACACGGAATGAATAAAGAAGCTGTGCAGATGGTATTCATCCGTTAAAAAAGAGGGGGGGGGGGAAAGAAAGAAAGAAATTATCAAAATACAGCATGAGTGGAGGGTATAAAAATTGGGCTGTAGGTATTTATTTTGTGTATAGAATGTACAAAATAAATATATTTAATCAAACACAAACATGACGCATATAAGATACAAATTATTTCAGTTCATCTTTATAATGGCCACATTTTCATTACGCTTGCAGTTACTAAATGTCTCTCTTTCTGATTATGCAGTGAAAGAATATAAAATTATTGTAATTGTATCTGTTTATTCATTTATTTTCTGAGTTTTGAATACTGACTGCATACACCCTTAAGTTACAGTAAGAACTTTAAGTAATCTGTTTGACAGTACAGATGAAATTAAAACAGAAACCTTCAAGTGTGTATAAAAAAAGAAGTTTCGCTGTTCTAATGTAAGAAAGCACGCTAGCGCTCTAGGCCATCCGGCACGTGGTTATGTTGGCAGGGCGTGCACTGGATTTGGCTGGGATGTTGATGGTGATCTGCTGGCCATCATAACCTCAAATTCACCACACGTCACGTTGTGGGATGCCAACACGGGCAAGAGGAGTCAAGTGGACACGGGGCTGCGGGATGCCATGAGCTGTGTCAGATGGTCAAAAACTGGGTCATTGCTGGCTGTTGGTACTGCGCGGGGCAATCTCACCATCTACAATCACAGCACAGCAAAGTGAGTGTCGCTGTCAATGATCATCTTCTTCATCAACTGATGGCTCTTCTTTGTAGTTATGGAACTGAGACACTCATTACCATTCTCATGAGAGGTGCTTGCCTGAGCCAGTTTGTACGTCAAAATAAGTTTAATTATTCATTTGCATCTACATTTTGGCTTAAGCGTCATTCTGTGCGAAAGAAGTTTTCTGAAACAGTGGTCTATTTACCACCATTGTGGATTTTCTCTATACCCTTCCCCCCAACCTCTTTTAATTTGTGGATTGAAATTTTAAGAGATATCATGCTTGTACTTTTTACAGTGTGTGTACTGCAGTCAGTACAATAATTTAGAGTAAGACAACAAATATTTGTGCTTTTTACTTTACTATGCACTGATTGTGATGGTTTATACAGTCATAAAATAAATTAAGGCTAAAGGAGAGGTTTGATTTTTGATGAAAAATACATTCCCTGTTTTTTATTTTTGTTGTGCTGCGTTACTATCCCCCATCTGCTGTCTAAAACGTAAAGACTGAAATATAGAAGTTAGCGTGAAAGCTTGTTTTTCACATGGAGCAATGAACACACAGGTTGAGGGTGTTTTGAGAACAGGGTGCTTAAGAGGGAGACAGGAGAGAGAGAAGAAATCTGCACGCTGAGGAGCTCTTCACCACATATTATTAGGATGAGCTGGATGGGTCATGTAGCATGGGGGAGGTGACATTTGTGTGTAAGAGTTTGGTTGGAAATCCTGAACGGAAGAGATCGCTTGTAAGACCTAAGCATAGATGGGAGGATAATGTTAAAATTAATCTTAGGAAAAGAAATGTGGTTTGAGCGTGCGGTAGATTTGGTTAATCTGGCTCAGAATTGGGAGTGGTGGCAGGCTGTTGTGAACACGGTAATGAACCTTCCATAAAGGGCTGCAGATTTCTTGACTAGCTGAGCGTACTATCTGCTTCTGACGAAGGACCCTGCTCCATTCAGCCAGTTATTAAATTACTATGGAATGGTAAACAAAACAAATTTACAACGAAGAAGTTATCTGAAACCTTTCATATCTTTGTTGTCACACATGACACAATGATTTTTGTATGAGACACTGCAACTTTAGTAATAATGGCATTTTTGTCAGCTGGTCGTCTTTAACTAAGTTGTAGTTCATGAAGAATGGTTATTGAACAGAGAAATGGACAAGCACGTATTATGCATTAAGAAAAGGTTTTCTGAAACCCGTGTGTCGCAGTTAGGAAGGAATTTGGCGTAATTGCCATAACCATTTTGCAGCGTAATGAGAGAGATAAAGTTGGGGAAATTTGTGAATAACTATTCAACTCAGAAAGTATTTATAGAAACTTCATGTTGAAAGATCTGGTAAAACAAATTATAGATGGATGAATATTATTAAAATGGATTGGAAAAGTGGGTTTATGCAGTAAGGACGGTGTTTAAGGACAAGTTCGGTATTGGTGGCATTTATCACTTGGGTTCAAATTGCAGAGTATTGGCTTTAGGCGTGTGAAGGTTTATTTAAATATTCAGGTCCAATATCAGTTTTAATTGGCTGGCAACCCAAATTTATTTCCAATCCCCGCATGCAGATGTACAGAAAGGTAAGCTGTTCCAGACGAGTGCCTGTACTGGGGAAGCACACCAAGAGGATCAGCAGTGGCGCCTGGAGCACAGAGAACTTGCTAGCTCTGGGTTCTGAAGACAAGACGCTTTCCATCAGCAATGCAGAAGGAGACACCCTCCGAATCATTTCCCTGCGCGCTGAGCCTAGCGACATCCAGTTCTCCAAGATGAAACTGGATGAGCGATTGGATGGAGAGAATACGGCAAGTTTATTGTTGCATATTAGTGAATTCAGCATAAATCATTTTTGTACGACAGTTTATCTGACAATTTCAAGGTAATTGCTTCATGCACAGAAGTTTTTAATGTAGTTTTTTTCTGTCTCCACTTGGGTCCAGATTTTTTCATAACATTTTCGTTCAAGTAATTTTCCTCAGGATATTAGATCATGTCTCACTCTAATACAAATTACATGAAAGTTGTTCTTGTGCAGGTGAGTGTATTAGTGGGGCGTAAGACTCTGTTCCTCTACAATTTGCATGATCCTGAGAACCCAGTGGAATTGGCCTTCCAGCAGCGATATGGATCCGTGGTCACCTACAAATGGTGTGTATGTACTTTGGTTATCAATATAACTTCCCTTTACATGGTATCGTATTCTTATCCGGATTGGTTCCTCATGGCTCTCATCATTTCATATAACAAAACATATCTCTCAGTGTTCATAACTTCAGGCCTTAGTATTAGCAAACATTTTATTGAGGCACCGAGATGTTAATCTAGCAGACAAAACGTAAATGCTACAAAGCAAAATAAAGAAGTCTCATTAGATTCTGATAACGTGGTTGGTCAGATAAAACCCAATATGTGTTCATATCAAATCGCCACCAGCATTTGCTGCAAGAGCGCTTGGTTAGAACGGCGTCTCTCGTAGCCAGCTGCTACTGCATCAGCCACCTCGCATTCCCATGGTATGAGATGTTTTCACCACCTCTGCCTGGTGTGGCCAAGTGGTTAGGAAAGAGTTGGTGGAAAACCTTTTGCACTCATGGGTTTCAAAGAAGACGCAACTTTTGTCTCCCTCTCTCTCCTGACAGCACGAAACTTTGAAGGAAAGGAGAAGTTGAGGAGCAGATGGGAGGGTGATAGCAGGAAGAAGTTCGAAGTGGGGGATCATGTTCATGGCCAGGGTAATAACAATCACAGGTGGTACTCGAGTGTTGTCGTAACCAACGTAACTTGTAGTTTCACAGTCATATTTGTACATATTAAAACTTATTTACCATTTAATAAAATCCTCTCGGGCTATCCGCTATGTCAGACGGTTAAAACTCGCTGACATTTCATGGACCATCTCTATCCCCGTCATCAGGGCATCTGATATTGGCCGTGGAAGCCGGCCATCCAATATCTGTACCTGCCCTGGCCAGCTTCCACAGCCATAGCAAATGTGCTGTTGATGGGGACAGAGATGTTCCCTGAAACAACAGTGAGTTTTTATCCACTTGACATGGCTGATGGCACAAAAGAATTTTATTAGTTTGGTTTGGTGTGAAAGTGTTAGATCATACATTGTTTACCATTTTCAGCAATGTGTTTCATATGCAGGAATGGTGAGCCGCATTTTCCACGATGAACTATCTTTTCAACCTGTCAAAGGGGTGACTTTGAACAGCTTCGAACATAAGAAACTGACGCAGTTAACAACAGACCCTTTTGAATAATAACGTTAAAACTCCTGTCACTCACAACTCGCCTTTGTGACTTAGCAGCTGACTGCTGTTGGAAAGAACACATGTTACAGACAAATTATATGATGTAAGACTAAATGAAATAAAATTAATGCCTCTGATTAATTTAATGAGCATGTAATGGCTGGTTACAACGTGCTTGAAACCGATTGGGTAGCACCCCACTCATTTTTCTTGCCACCCACTGCTTGGTGTATATAAGGCTTTCAAAACCCCTTGTGTACCTTCATGCTGAAGATTGTAACCGCAGTTCACGCTGAAACATTGAAAAACCTTCAAGATTCATCACAGCTTTTCCATGAATAGCTGAAGTTATACATTAAACTCTAGCCATGATAACCTAGGGAGAATAATAGATTGAGTGTGTTCAAAAACAAGGTACTAAAAAGAATATTTTTCTGCAAGAGGGAGAAATAACACGAGGCTCAAGAAAGCTGCATAATGTAAAGCTTCATTTGTATCAGCGTGTCTGTATGCGCACATGCATGTGTTCTTCTGCACGTTTGGATATTCTGTCGAGCCATAATCCATCCGATCGCTCCATCGGTTCGTGAGTGGCGGAAACGTGGTCCATTCTCATGCCAGTCTGCCACGAGCCTTCGTCCAGTGAAGTCCAAACTTGTATAATGTCGGGTCGTGAGTTTGTTATTGAGGTGATTGAGAAATATAGAGAGTTGCCATGTTTGTGGCAGATAAGTAATGAAGACTATCATGATAAAGCTAAAAGAAGCTTAGCAATGGAAGAATTGGTGGTTTTATTTAAAACCAAAGATCCTACCGCCAACAAAGAAAATTCCCTTAGAAGTTGCTTCAGAAAGGAGCATAAGGACTTAAGTTGCTTCTGTTTAAGAGCCATTGCTTTGACCACTTTCGTTTTGGTTTTTTCCTTTTAATATACAGGCATACTGCCGTAGCTAGTACCAATTCTTCGTCCATCGCAAACACCACACACTTCACAGAGGGACAACAAACCGCGACTGGCGTGAAGCGACCGTGAATGTAGTACCTCTTTGGACGACATCCGTTTGGACGTCATCCATTCGGATGTCATCCATCTGGAGCGATCGTGAATGGCGGCCTTTACTGCTGTGTTCACAGTTCATACTTTATGGTGTAAGTTTACAACTATCACAGTGGGACAGACTCATCTTCGAGCAGCGTCTGTAAAGTTGCATGTCTTAGTCCCCTTAAGATTTTGAGTACTAAAGGGGACCTCAAACAACCTGGTTCGGATTGCCAATACCATTCAGTATTTTAAGCAGGCACGTCAAGTTCCAGTTGGACTGTGATACATATTTCAGTCAATAATTACACTAGAATGAGTGAATGGTTTTCTGTGCAGGTTTGGGGATGGTTACATCTTGCTGGGCTTCAGTGCAGGCTTCTTTGTCGCAATATCCACGCACATGAAGGAGGTGGGGCAAGAGCTGTTTCAGACAAAGAACCACCGCGACTCACTCAATGATATCGCCATCTGCAGTCGACTGGGCAATGTGGCTTCCTGCGGTGATAATCAGTGAGTGTTGATGTACTTTCATCTCAAGTGGTCATGCGTTGCAGTGCAAATATCCACAACATGATTGGTCGGAGACATTCAGTGTGCTTCAGAAATCTCAAGTACAAATTAGGCATGACATAGCTAAGTGTTCTTCTAGTGTAAAAACTCAATTGTATGAAGTAGGAAGTTCATCTGTTATACCTCAGAAGCATGACGTGAGTAAGGGGCATGACTTGGTTTTTATTTTTTTGTAGGGTGAAGATCCACAACATGTCGAACCTGCAGGAGACATCTAGTGTCTTAACTGTGGAGGAAGATGAGGTAGAACGGCTCTCTTGGAGTGAGGACGGACAATTGCTAGGAGTGGTCACGCACAGTGGCTCCATTTATGTGTATCTCTCTCAACTTCCCATGGTTTGGTCAGCCTTTAACACTCATCTTGCCGTGCTCACAAGTCTCACTGAGCTCACTTTGTACAGCCATGAGCAGGACAGCAAGGTAATCACATCCACTGATCTAGACCACAGTGTAAGTCAAGTAGCCATTAGCTGGCAATTTTGCAGAAGTGTTTATATTTGTCTCCACATTTTGATGCCTAGTCTACAGTGAGTAGGTAAGTATATTTCTGGAGGCCCTGACCCCATCTGTCAACATGTTTCAGCTCAACTGCTGGTCATCTTGATAACTTTGCATTCAGTAAGATATGGGGATGGTTGTTAATGTGAGTGAATTGATTTTTTAATAATTTGATGATTCTCTATCCACTGCAGAAATAGTGTTAATGGGATGATTCTTAATTGTCATTACTATTGATGTGCATGTTATTTAATGTTGCTGTATCAACTGCAGTAGTCCTGCAGTTTGAATTTTATGTGAGGTAAGTTGTTAACCTGTCATATTTATTTAAGAATGCTTTCTTCTGTAGCTCACACTGTGTAGCGTCGAATGAGAGGATAATAATAAATAATGTACTGGAAGGGATGTGGAAGGAAGTAGTAATTTAAGGTACTATCCCAGCATTTTCCTGGAATTACTGAGGAAAACCATGAAAAACCTCATTCAGGATAGCTGGTCTCTGGGCCGAGATTTCAACCCAGGACCATCCGAATATGAAACAGGAGCGCTAATAACTTGACCATGGTGTTTGTTAACCTGGTGTAATTATATTTAGATTAGATATATGTATTTATTTATCTGGATGTATTTAAAAAGTCACCATTTCTAACAAGTTTATAAGACATAATTTTACTCCATAACTGCCGTGATGCAGTAAGATGTGAACTTTGCCTGGTAAAACTATTGAAATCTATGGTAAACCTTAGCTATTTGTGTAGCTAAGATTTGAACTGGTTTTGTACACCTACATGTGAAGTTTTAGTGTGTGTGTTCATGTATGAGGCCTGAGAGAAGCCACAAAACTGAAACCATGACAGCCGTTACGACTGAATTGCAGGGCAAGCTGCCAACCCCTCTGCTGAATGTGGATTTGCCTGTGGAGCCCACCTTTGTGTCTCTTGGCCCGTATCACTGCGCGGCAGGCATGAACAATCGTGCCTGGTTCTTTGAGTTGGGGCAGAACAAACCTGCATTGCTTCGAGATCGGGAGTATCTCGGGACAGTTACCAGCCTGAGACTCAACGCGGAGTATGCTTCAGTTCTGTGTGAGGGCAAGATACAGCTGCATATGGTGAGATAATCTCTGCTGGTATGGAATTCAGAGACAAACACTTGAGCAAACCTCACAAGTCAGTGTGACCAAACTTAAAAGTAGCCGGAAAGATAATTGTACTTCTTCGACTGTCCTTGCTGAGGGTTTGCATTTTGTTATGTATGAAAGATAATAGTTTCTATGTGTCTGTAGTTGAGTTTAATCACTGCACAAGTTCAGAAAAATGTGTTTGGAAAAGATTTTATTCTGACACATGATTTACATTCTACAGAAAGTGCAACAGCGGGGTACCAAGCACATTGATGAACTTTTCTGCAGAGCATAGGCTTTCTGACAAATTACAGCTGCACCTTTTGGGATGCATTAATAAGCAAATGTCACATTTTTTGCAGTTTACTGATGGCATTGTTTTGAATTCCTTGCGTCAGTATGGTGTGCCGTCTGGTCATAGAACCATCCATCCATTCTTGAGGATGAGAATGGTGTAGCGCATAGCCAGGTAGCTCAGTTAGTACAGTAACCGGGGTTTGATCCCTGACAGGGGCAGAGGATTTTTTCCTTTAGCCTGTGCCTCCAGACTTACTCTGGGGCCTACGTAGCCTCCTATACAATGGGTACTGGGTCAAGCATGGCTGGGGCATGATGCCGACCACTTACCCCTATCTAGTACCGAGGCTAAGAATGAGTTGGAGCTGTACCTTCTCTCTCTCTCCAAGTGCTTACATGGTCTATATTGGGACAGCTTTAGTTTACTTTATTTGACTTTTTACTTAAGTAGTGATTATGCTTTAAAGCAGGAATACCACCAGGCACTTGTTTAATAGTAGGAAATTTGTTTTGTTTTAGTTTCCGATACTACTGCAACATAAATATTTCTCTTCATAAGGTTATTTGCTGATTGGTAATCTTAATAGCATACGAGGTGCGATCGGAAAGTTTAAAGACTGTGTCAATAGCGGGCGAACCGGATGTAGTACGAGCTTCTGCCTTTAAGGGGTGCGGCCTACATTCATAGTGAATCAGTGTGCCAGCCGGCATCATCGAATTAGCATTTGTTTCTTAGTTACGGGCGTTTTGGTAGTGCATTACACCGACCCTCCTGCGATTTCGGAATGGCGTGTGCATCAAATTTTGCCAAAGACTCGCCAAAACGGCTACGGAAACCTATGAAATGCTAAAGCAAGCATTTGGGGAGTCCGCAATGGGTAGTTCACAAACTTTTATGTGGCATTCATGTTTTAAAAATGGCCGAACCTCTGTCCATGATGACGAGCGTTCTGGACGACCATCTTCGAGCACAACGCCCGAAAATG